CACAAATTTAACGCAAGGAAAGCATGAAGTACATCAGCATCGAACGAAGCTAATTTTTCAGGTAAGTTGTCAAGGAAAATCTGGGAAAAAACAGTAAGACAAGTTACAAATAATAACTTCAGTTAAACACTTAAACTACTAAATAAAGTATAAAAATATAAGTATGATACTACTATTCATAATTTATGAAAGTCAAACCATAAAAAAATTTAAAAGTTGTACAATGGTTAAAGTGTGAAATATGACTCTTATGGAGGACAGAGGCCGTGTTTGTTTGATCAAGATATTATGATACACAAGGCAGAACAGGTCAGCACAAGAGAGAGTAACTCACATATTGGAAAGTTCCATGATGAAAATATGAGTACTACACCCAGTGGCTCGGGCATAACTTCTGCTTTAGCTGGGAAGTAAATAATTGGTAATTTTCCCTGTAAAGAGTATATCATCGTTAATGATCTGTTTTTTGTGCCATTTATTGATCAATCTTGCAAGTGCATCAATACATCATACCGGACCAAACCTGTGAGATTTTAATGGGTTTGTTGTTGTACTCGGAATGTACTTTTTGGAGCTCTTTTAACCCATTTATTAATATACTGTTGCATCCTTTACTATGTAATTGTGTTTTTTGATGTGTATGATCACTTTAATGCCAATTTTACAAATGTGATATGAATGTAGCAACTATCTCAACCCATTGTAATCTCATAGTATTTTTCAGGCAAGTGGAAACCCCTGTCGTGTTGATGATGTTGTTTTTTTGGGGTGGGGGGGGGGTATTGTTGTTATCATTTTTTATATTATTATGATTACTATTATTAATTTACTATTACTCTATTCCAAAAATGGTCCTGTTTCATTGAGGTACAATTTTTAAATTTTGGAAAGGAACAACTCTGGTAAATAATTTATCGTACTTACTAATATGTATTTGTTTGGTAAACTAAGTTTAACACGATTAACTTATGTGGATGTGGTGGAACAGATTTATTTAATTTATATTTGATAATTTTATATTTTGGAAAAATACAACTCTTTCTTTGGACATGAAAAATTAAAAGAGAACTAGTTTTTGGGGAAGGAGTTTAGCTATTACTCCGTAATAATAATAATAATTACAATAATAATAATAATAATAATAATGATAATAATATTGTTGTTATTATTATAATTATGGACTTTCATCGCATTGGTCCTTCGGAAGGTTGTGAAAAAAACCATATAGTGTAAAACTTTGTGACAGTGTTTTTTGTGAGTTTATAGTAGTATGAACAGATTCTGCACAATTAACTTGCACCATAACTTTCATGCCTCTAACCCACAACGTAGTTGGGATTAAGGTGTGAGGATTCTCATAATTTTTACATTCTGCACATGCTTGATTCTGTTCAGCACATCAAGACATACACACATATAATGCAACATTAAGGTGCTTCGCTATTCCAAAAAACTTTGAATTTCGTTCAATTTAATAAAATAATCGAACTATGTCAATCATTTCTAAATGGAGGCAAGTAAGAAACTTTACCCTTTTGGGTTTCATCCATTTTTCAAAATTGTTCAATGCAGTGGTTGCAGATTTAACCAGAACACCAACCTGTGGAAGCATGCATCAAACATCCAAATCATGAAGTAAAATCCAGAAAAGTTGGCAACAATTGAAGCAAATTAGCACTCATGAACACAAATTTAGGCTGAAAATAAAAAATTTGTGTAATTTCAGATCCGACTTCATAAAACAACTTCTAAATAACAGCTCCTTTAGAAAAATCAAATTCGCATATGCTTGATGCTTCCAAACCAAACCACTCAACTTTTGACAAGTTACTAACTGTTCCATTTTAAGATTAAAAAATTCCTTTGTGGAAGGAGTACAAATTAATCTCTCAAATTCTTTATAAGTGAACCGGTCATTATTCACAATTCACATGAGAAACTTTATCCCTTTTCTCTGCATATTTTGGTTACTCATTTTCATAAACTAATATAGTTATATCACTCCTAGTTTTGTAGAATTTTTTATATTATTTTAGATATATGTGTCTTTAGAAACAACCTCTCTACATTGGAGTACTTTCAAGAAGGGTTAAGGTATGGGTACAAGCATCCTCCTCGGATCCTACTTGGTTGTTGTTGTTGTTAGATACTCCTTCCGACCCAAATTGATTGTCCTCATTATTTAAAAAAATAAAAAGTTGGTGGTTGAAATTTGCTTAGTAGAAAGAGAAAGATTGTCAACCTCAATCTAGTATTCTTTAATTTATGTAAGAGAGTAAGAAAATTGTTTTGGGACAATTAATTCGGGACAAAAGAAGTATATACCAGTGAATCTTACTCCATATTTCTTAATTGAAAATGCTGATTTTGAAATGAATTGAATAAGATAGAGTACCAAACAAGCTCATTCCACAAATCACATCAAAACAGACTGGCCCAAGCTGATTAATTGTTAGTACGAGAGCCAAAAGTAGAAATTCAAACTTCAAAGTTCAAACGCAGAATCAAGCAGTAAGAATCGATTAGGAAAAGCAGAGAAAACCTCATCGCGATAAGCTTCAACGCGGTGCTTTCCGAGGTCCTGTTTCAGAGCTTCGAAGATGGAATCTTCGTTTTCGGAGAGGAGATTGAGTATGGCCTGGAGCTGTGCTTTCCTCCATGGAATTCCTCTGGTTTTCCCGCCGTCGAAGCTCTCTCTCGCCTCGCTCAAGCCTCTCTCTATCCCTTCTACGTCCATATCTCTCTGCAAATCTCTGCGCTGCCTTCTGGACTTCTCACCGGCCCATCATTTATGTGTGTAACCGCCCCCTCGCGGGTTGTTATGTACTTTTCACTTTTCCCATTTTGGCCTTGGGAATGACCAGTGTCTTTCTTTGGTGACGCGAGACGCGCAGCCCCAAATTGGGAAATTAATGGGTTTTCGTACTTGTGGACCAAAAGTTGTTGGGCTCAATAACTTCACTTGCTACTGCTCCATCTCTCCCTCTAGAATGTCTTTTTCTTTCCATTTCAAATCAATTCAATGTATTTAAAGGCTCGTTTGGTACACAAAATATAAATTATGGAATTGGAATTGGAGACAATAATTTTAATTAGTGGTTTGTAGTACAAGAATATATGGATTTAAAATTGGTAATGTCAAAAATGAATTGAAATTGGAGAATTCAATTCCATTCAAATCAATTTCATAGAATTTCAATTCCTAATTCATTTCTAATTCTGTCAATTTTGTGTACCAAAAAGACCCTAAGAGTAATTTTTAAAATGGTACTTAAGAACAATATATTTTCTCAAATGAGTTTCTAAGACAAATTAATTATTGAGATGATAGTCGTTAATTGAAAATAATGCTTAAATTATTCCATCGACTAATAATTATCAAAATGGTGTCAAAATTTATATTAATTTCCCAAAATGACTCTTTCTAATTGAATTTTTTTTCTCAAATTGGTCCATTTTCAAAATAAAAAAAAATCATTAAATATGAAAAAATAATTTAAAATTTTATAGGATTAGAATATAATAAATAAAATAATTAATATAATTTTCTAAAGTTGAAAGTAAATGTTTTAGATTCTTTACAATTATTTAGAAAAATATCATGTAAATAAAGTAGTTAATAAGCATATTTATTTGTTCTCCCAGTTTTGAAATAAGATTTTTGTTTTAGTTTACGATATCTAACTAAAGTTATTTTCAAAAAATTAAAACAGAAAATTAGCGTATAAATTTAAAAAATACATATAAAAAACATGCACAAGAAATTATACAAAATAAGTGATGACATCACTATTTTTTATGGTCGACAAATATGTATTAGGCAAATAGATTTATTTTGACCTTGTAAATAGTAAAAATGCGCTTTATTTGTAGGTGAATGGAGTATTACTTAGTCACGGTGATTTTATAGTTACTGAATTCAATTTTCTTTAATTATAAAATTTATACTTTATTTTCGTGTAAGTTATTATTTCTAAAATTGAATTGCATTTCATAATACTCCTTTCATACCAAGATAAGACTCGTGTTAATAGAAAATTCTAGACCATTTTTTAGTTATGTTTAATTGAAAATAACATTCGGCCAAACATCATAAGCCGAATTAGGAGTTTTATTTCCAAACAAAGACACCGTTTATTAAATATTATTTGCATAACATTATTCTAAATAATTGTAAACAATTTGAAACGTTTGCGTTAGTTTCAGATTTATTAAATTATATATATAGTTTTATCTAATGTATTTTCATCCTATAAAATTTAAAATTGTTTTTCCATCTTTAACAACTTTTTATTTTGAAGAAGAACTAATCTGGGAAACACCTAATTTGAAAAAAATTATTTTGGGAAATTAATTTAAATTTTTACGTTATTTTGATGATCATTAATCGGTAGACTAAATTGAGCATTATTCTCAATTAATGAGTATCATCTTGATAATTAATTTATCTTGGAGACTAATATGTGAAAACACGTATTAGTATGACTAAGTATGACTAAAGGGGAGCACTCAAAAGAGTGTTAGGAGTGAGCTAACAGTTAAGATGAAAAAAAGTACTCCGTCATAGACTTTGACTAGTAAAGGAAGAAACAGAAAATTGATACCCTGCTGGGGGATGCTAAATGAAAATCTAGGCGGGTACTCCAATGGGGGTGATGATATTTGACCAATTAGGGTCCTAGTGGAGAATGTATCCACTTTGGAAGAAGACTCATGGTTTTGTTAATTTAAGGAGTTTTAGAATTTAGGTAGGAATGAAAAAACAATTTCAGGATTCAAGGGGTAGATAACAGCTTCCCTAAGCCTCACACTCTTCAAAGGTTTCTAAGGTCTCGTTGAAAGGACTAAGAATTCAATTAAATGGGACGGGTTCTTGCACAAGTAGGGTACGGTCTTTGGGGGAGGTCTTTAGAGGGAGTATCATCAAACCCCATTCTAAGGTCTCTCTGGACCAGCCCGAACAATAGTCTATAAAAAGGCAAATTAAACTTTAACTTCAGATTAGATAATAATAATGATATACGAGGAGTCAATGCTAAACATGATTATTTTTCATTGCCTTTGTCAAATAGTAGCTCGATCCATTTCTTTCTTTCTACTTTCTACTTCCTTCGGTCCTAAATACCTTTCGTGTTTTGATTTTCTTGTCAAACAGTGGTACTCTTTAAGTAAGTAAATTTAATTATAATATAAATTCAAAATAATTGGTTTCATCTTAAGATATATATCGTTGATATATCGAATTTTTATTTCATTTATCTGTTTAGAATTAGTTTAATTTGTGGTCAAAGAATGTCACTATTTGACTAAAAAATCAAAACAAGAAAAATTTTTAGAACAAAAGAAGTACTCCGTATTATTTAGTAGAGTAAGTAATTTTATTTTTTCTTTCTTCTTATTATATCTAAATGAGAGGAGGAAAAATAAATCTTAAAAATTTTCATCAAACCCGTATTTTACTTGTTTATTTTATTTTCTCCGTCCAAATAAGGGGTTAATCAAGGAAGTTCATGGGTGGTGCATAGATTCCTTATGTTGGGCAAATTATTGGCTAGTCACAAGATTTCAAACCAGCAAAAAAGGGCATCCTATTCCAATTATACACACTCCGTCCACCTCTTCTTGTCCATCCATCCTGGCCGTCATCATCTTTACATCCACCACAATCATCATCTTACATCATTATTTCCTTTTTACCAGGGATTTCACCTCAACCCTAAGCTTTTCTCTGCGATATGATATGGTTATAAACCCGTAGCCCGGAAACCCGATCCGAAACATGGCCGCTCAATTCTTCTTCTTCATCTTCTTCTTGGTTCTCCTTCATGCTCTGTTCTTATTCAACGCCTCTGCGATTACCCATTGGCAAGACATTGATGCTCTGAAGCAGCTCAAGAACAGCGTGAACCCAGATTCCGTAACTCCCGGTTCCTGTCTGAGCTCGTGGAATTTCACGGCGGACCCCTGCGACAGTATCTTGTCGGAGAAGTTCACCTGCGGCCTCCGGTGTGACGCCGTCGTTTTCTCCGAGTCCCGCGTCACCGAGATCGCTCTTGATCGCTCGGGGTACTCTGGTTCTTTGGAATCCGTTTCTTGGAACCTCCCTTACCTTCAAAAACTCGATCTTTCTGGGAATTCTTTCGATGGGTATGTCCCCGGCGACTCGTTCTTGAATCTGACTCGGCTTCGGGTGCTGAGTCTCTCTCGCAACTCGTTCTCCGGCTGGATTCCGAGCTCGCTCGCGTCGCTCTCCGCCCTGGAGGAAGTCTACCTCGACGGGAACAGGTTCGAGGGGCCCGTTCCGAGTCTGGGCGGTTTGAAGAACCTGACGAGGCTGGAGCTACAGGACAACTCGTTCTCCGGCGAGTTCCCCGAACTCGGCGGGCTGGCCTCGCTGCGCTTCGTCGACGCCAGCAACAACGCCTTCTCCGGCGAGATGCGGGCGAGTCTCCCGTCGTCCCTCGTGGAGCTCGTCGCGAGGAACAACATCATAGAAGGGAATATCCCGGCGGGCATCGCCGGGTTATCCTCCCTGCAGGTGCTGGACCTGAGTCACAACCGACTCACCGGGTCAGTCCCGGCGAGTCTCTTCACCCACCCGTCCCTCCAACAGGTGAACCTCTCGCACAACAAATACGGGTCGGTGCAAGAACCCGACCCGAATTCTATCAACACCAGTCAACTGGTCGCCGTTGACCTGACCCACAACGAGATCCGCGGGTCCTTACCCGAATTCCTCGGGTTGCTGCCCCGACTATCCTCCCTCTCTCTGGAGTACAACAAGCTCTCGGGCATGATACCGGCCCAATACGCCCTGAAAGGGTCGGGCTCGGGTTCAAGTTCGGGTCGGGTCGGAGAAAACCCGTCGCAGTTCGAGAGGCTTTTGTTGGGCGGGAACTACCTGTTCGGGGCGATACCGGGTCCGTTTCTGAAAGCGGAGCCGGGTTCGGTCACGATCCGATTGGGGGACAATTGCCTGTACCGATGCCCACGGAAGTTTGCTGTGTGTCAGGGCGGGGAACAGAAATCATTATCGGAGTGCAAAGCCTTTGGGCCCACAACCCTTCATTGAACAGCTAAACAAATGTCAGAGATAATGTACTCCACACATTAATTTATGTCCAATTTATGCAATGTTTTTTACTCCGTATTTTATTTTTGTTTTTATTTTATTTTTGTTTTAGTAGTACATATACGTACTTTTTTTTAAAAAAAATTTTGTTTTGTAATCCCAGTTTAGAAAAGAAAAAATGATGTCTGAGATATATTGTTCCTATTTAACGACTAGTTTTTTGAGAAACGACTACGTAAAGGATAACTCGCTTCAGTCTCGATCCTCTAACGTCCGCCTTAATGCTGAATTTGAGGCTCTTCTATAGAAATTTCGAGATTTCATATAACTCGAAAACTTCCTTCCGAGCTTCATAATAAAGGTCCAATGCCTTCAAGATTTTTCTTTGGCGGTGGATCCACTGGGCTGTGTCTTGAGCACGTTGGAATACTCTTTGAACGTTTTGGATTTCTAGTAGTTGTCGAAGATGGCGTCCTCCAACACGTCGGCGTTGAACATCGTCCAGGTCAGATTTTCTATCGGAGTATCCTTCTTCAGCCCGTCATTATTTTTGGCCCTCCTTTGCTAATACCTTTGCTCCAAAAAAGAAACTTCAAAGTCGCCGTTTTAACAGCCGACAATAAGTATGGGCTATCATTAGAGCCCGAGAATAGGCAAAGTCCTTAACTCCTTACCCACTCCTCTGGATAAAGTATCGGAGTTTGAAAATCGAATGACAACATTGACTTCAAATTGCTCAAAAAAGAAACTTCGTAGTCGCCACATCTCTTTGTTTTCTTCTTCTTCTTCCTCCTCCTGCCCCAAACTATTTTCTTCATCTTCATCGACCGCAACTTGCTTGTTTCTTCCTCCATTTTCTTTCAATTTCATTTTTAAATTTTATATCCTTTTTTCAATTTTTTCATTTTTCTTAACTTTGAGTCCATGACTTTTATATGAGTAAATTCCATAAAATGTCCCCATTTATAGGACGTTTTACATATTTAGTCCCTACATATCAATTATCAATAATTTAGTCCCCAATTATTATACTGTTTTTCAAAAATAGTCTTTTGTTAATATTTCAGTTGAAAATGTGGATAAAATTGTATATTCACACTTTTCTCTCTTCAATTAAGCTTCCTTCCTCATCTCGTACTCATTCACAACCCACTCGCTGAGTTTGAAGCTCTAAACCCAAAATCGAAACGATCACTCTTCTCTCAACTGTTCATCTTACTGGTGGAACTCAAAGTCGAAACCAATAACCTTTATGGATGAATTTTACGGTTAGTCTCAGGAAATTACAAAGAAAACAAACCTTAAAACTCATTCATGAGGGTTACTAGTTTTGATTTTGGATCCCACCAGAAAGATGAACAATTGAGAGAGGAGTGATGATTTTGGTTTTGGGTTCAAAGTTTCAAACTCAGTGACGGACTTAGGAAAGGAGTGCAAGAGAAGAGAGAAGCTTAATTAAGGAGAGAGATGAGTGTGAATTTACAATTTTATCCATGTTTTTAATGAAAATATTAACAAAAGACCATTCATGGAAAACAATATAAAAATTGGGGACTAAATTATTGATATTTGATATGTAGGGACTAAATATGTAAAACGAATTATAACTAGAGACCTTTTATGAAATTTACTCTATTTTTTTATTATTTATCTATTTTTATTGATAAATAAATATTTGTACTAAATTTATATAAGTTTTGAATTAAAAATAATAAATAATGTAAAAGTAACAGAGATTCTTATTTTCGGGATGATATTATTACAGGATTTTGGGCGGGGCGCAAAGTTAATGGAATACTGATATGATAAGAATTGGGCCGAGATGGATTTTGGGATCATTATAAATGCTCTAAGGATTTTAATTTGATTATATGGAGTATGTAAATTACCGTTTCAATTCGAATAAGTATTACCCAAAAATCAATTCAAGGAAGAGATCATGAGCCTGTTCGGAAAAAGCATTAGAGATTAGCGTTGAAAAAGCTATCTACAAGTAGTTTTTAGCATTAGCATTTTCAAACTTAATATGCACCGTTAAAATTTTATCCAAAACGGTAACGCTGATCGAAAACGTTATTCTCAAACTGACCCCATAAATAATTTCCTCGACTTCAAAATGGAAAATATGTGCTAGAAGGCAGTGTTCCATATCATCATCAATTTTTCATATTGGCTTTCTGTAATAGCTCTAATAACATTTCAATTTTTGATAGTTTTCATTAATTTAATGCTAATTATATTATGCATTTACTGTCCGTTTTGGAACAAGAAAACTAACTTTTGAAAAATGACAACTAGAGAAAGAGTTACTTTCATTGTCACGAAATAGTTAATTTTAATGTTCTAGAAATCTAGAATTGAAGTCATTTTGTTTTTCTACTGTCTCGCTCATTGTTTTGGAAAAGATTAATTATATATTATACATTATTTAAAATCATATACTCCGTATATCATTTTAAAAGCTAAAGTCCTTAAACACATACATACCACTACTCTTTGGACCTTTGTATTCGCATATATAAAGTATAAGATGACATCATTGCTACTAGTGTCATTTGCTTACACTAGTTCGTTTAAATCATTTACGGTGCCCCAATTGTAAACATGACAGTTCTTATCCCCACCTGGCAGTAGTGTACTACCAGGGTAGAAGGGAGGCAACGGGTGGAAAAGGGTGGGGTCTAGGGGTGGTCTGCGGGATAAGAATCATCAGTTTTACAATCCCAGCATAGTATGTGCCTCAAATGAAACAATATAAGCAATAAGTGTATTATGTATAAATAATTGGTGTTATTTTAGATACCTTATATACCCTAAGTATATTCTGCTATTAATGGTGTAAATCATGTTTATTTTAGGGTATCTATATATAAGGTAATATTTTGTTACTATGGTTAAGCTAGTTTCCTTGTTAAGCATTTATGGTCTATATATAAACATTGTTTCTAGGTGAATATCATCCATACAAGTCCATGATTTTTCCCTAAGCCAGTTAGTTCTAAAGATCCAAATACCTCCACTCTCTCTTTTCTTTTCTTCTTTTGACCAAATGGGAACTCTCAGCCAGAAGAAGGAAGTGCCCTTCATCATGATGGCCACCATCATATACCTTTCTTTCAGCACTCCATTATTATTAGAAGTAGAAGCATGCCATCCAGTAGACCTAGAGGCCCTACTGGACTTCAAGAAGAGCATCACAGAGGATCCCAACCAGATGCTCCGGACATGGACACCCTCCACAGAGTGCTGCGACTGGGAGGGAGTCAGCTGCGACTTACCGCAAATGGCGCGGGTCAAAGCAGTGACGCTCATAGGTCTGTACCTGGACAAGCCTATGTCCGGGACCATCCCGCCATCGATAGGAAACCTGTCTTCCCTCGTTCAGCTCGACCTCACAGGGCTCAAGAACCTGTCGGGTCCCATCCCGGATTCCATTTGCAGGCTCACGAAGCTCCAGTATCTTGACTTGCAGGGGAACCGACTCAGCGGAAGAATCCCAAGCTCTATTGGGAATCTTCAAGAACTAATCTGGTTAAGGCTGAATGGGAACAGATTGACTGGCCCTATTCCTCCATCAATATCAAACTTGAGCTCACTGGGGGTCCTTGATTTGTCGTGGAATGCGCTCACGGGGACGATCCCATCGCCCATTGGAAACTCCACAGAGAGGCTAACACAACTGAATCTTAGCAACAACAATCTGACAGGGAATCTGCCGGAATCTATTGGCCATCACCCAAACCTCTTCGCTCTAAACCTCAGCAATAATCACTTCACGGGAGAAATCCCAGAGAGTTTCGGAGATCTTCAAGGACTCATAAGTTTGGATCTGTCAAGAAACCAACTCGGAGGCAAAATCCCTAGCCAACTGGGAAACCTGCAAAAATTAAGAGCTCTTATCCTCTCATTCAATGGAATCAATGGGGAGATCCATTCTTCCATTGGTAACATGACCGACTTATCCTACCTCGACCTATCAAACAATCAGTTAGGAGGGAGGATTCCAAAATCTCTTGGGAATTTTAAATGGCTGAGGACGATAATGCTTTCAGGCAACAAGTTCAGCGGTACAATACCAGAGGAGGTGATAAATATTGAATCTCTAGAAGTGTTTGATGTTTCTAGAAATAGATTGAGTGGGGAAATCCCTGCACACAAAGCAAATATTTCCAAGGAAGCGTTTTTGGGGAACCCTGGCTTGTGTGGGTCTCCTCTTCCTCCTTGCAAACTCTAATGGCTTTGTTAGTTAGGGCCTATGGGATAGAAATAATGAGGAAAGAGTTAGAAGGAAAGAGTGTGAGAGAATGAGAAAAGTAGTAGTGGCAGTAGTAGCAAATTAGCAATAAAATATTATGGGAGAAAAGAATTGGATTTTCGTGTATTGTTTCCATTGGAAGAACATTTTACAGTAATATTTTTATAATATCTCACACATTTTCTTGATTTCCATACACACACCCTCCCTAGACCTCTTGTGGGATTCAAGTGGGTTGCTGTTGTTGTTATAAAAGTAATAGCTCTCCCACACTTTTTCTAATAATCTACTATGATTTTCAATATCTAGTCGTCCAATGCTTACAAATTTTCAAACTGTATTGTATAATTTGGAGATAAGATTTTTACAAGAACTCATAACCAAAATGTCTACAATTAAAACCTCCAAAGGCTTCCCCATACAATGAAATTGCAACAGGTTATGTAATTTACAAGTTTATTCTTTTCCCTACTTCATTTGGTTTATTTTTTTCTAATGACTTTGGCTTGTATATTCCAAAGATCAATTTAACACACACGTAGTACATAGTATAAGAGTATCTCGGAAAGCTTGTTATTATTTTTATAAGTATATTATTTCACCAAATGTGATTTTTATGTCACATTTGGTTTTTAACACATTCTTGTACTATTTTTATCCCGTTCCGTCCGAAGTAGCTATTACGGTGTATCAACTCACAGTATCCCGTTCACTATTCCATTAGCACTTGTATGAAATTTTCATTTCAATATTGTTTGGCCAAGTTGTGCTCAGCAAAGCTGCTTCTTTAAGGGCATGGACTAAACTGAAATTGAACTAATCTGAATCCAAAAGTAACGAGCCCAAATCTAACCCCTCATGATCATTGCAACTATTGGAAAGACAAGGAAGATCTCAGAGGAGTAAAAAAATGAAACATATATGCACCTTCACGGCTTCGAGTTTCTAAAGTGCTCGTCTTAGCATTATATCAAACACCTGGTGGGCGAGGTAGTTTCTTTGTAATAGAACATTGTGAGAGGCGAGTATGTAATCTTCCCATGAGCCAGACATAGGGAGCAGCTCATGATTTCATGCGGCTTGGAGCTGGATGCAATGGGAACGGCGTTGAGCAGACCCTGGGCAAGTCAAAATTTCTCTTGAAAAAAACAATACAGTAATATTTAAAGAAATAGAAATCATCCTAAATAGGACTAAAACATATAGAAAAGTACCAAAATAGGACTTTCATGTTTTTTTCCCGGAATAGGACTTTGCACTGTAGTAATGTGACTTTGCATTGTGGTAATGTGACAGTGTACATGTGCAAATTACTATACTTTTTTGGTAATGTATATGACCATCTTTAATAATGTAAGTCCTATTTCGGAAATAAAAACATGGAAGTCCTATTTTAGTATATTTTCAATGTTATAGTCCTACTTTGGTCTTTCTCCCGTTTCTTCAAGTCTTTTTAAGTAATTGGCAGTATTTTCCAATTTCTTAGTTCTTCCAACATCCAACTTTTTTTTTCCAAATCTAAAAAACAAGCTCTTAGTGTTTCATGCTTTCTTGAGGATTATAGTGGATTTAAGCTTGCCTAATGGAAGGGTTTAGGGTTTAAGCTTTCTCTCCCCTGCCATGCCCCTGCCAATCGTAATATATGGTTAATGATACCAAATCGGCAAATCACAGTCACGGCTTTAACTAACCAAGTTTCTCGGGCTTAAATATGGGCATTCAGACAAAGATGTTCATGTGCTATTTATGGTGAAAATCATGTTTATTTTGTGAATCCTTTATTTTAGGTAATCTGTATATAAGGTAATATTTTATTTACTCTGCTTAAGCTAGTTTCCTTCTTAGGCATTCTGGGTAATGTATATAAACATTGTTTCTATGTGAATATCATCAATACACGTTCATGGTATTTTCCCTAAACTACCAGCAGTTCTAGAGATCCAAATACCTCCACTCTCTCTTTTCTTTTCTTCTTCTTTTGACCAAAATGGGAATTCTCTCCCAGAAGAAGGAAGTGCCCTTCATCATGATGGCCACCACCATCATCATCTACCTTTCTTTCAGCACTCCATTATTATTACAAGTAGAAGCATGCCATCCAGTAGACCAAGAGGCCCTACTGGACTTGAAGAACAGCATCACAGACGATCCCCAAAAGATTCTCCAGGGATGGACTCCCTCCTCAAACTGCTGCCTCGAATGGATGGGCGTCCAATGCGACCCCCAAACAGGCCGTGTCTCAGAACTTTACTTCGGAGGTGGGAGCGTGTCCATGTCTGGGACCCTCCCACCTTCAATTGGAAACCTGTCTTCCCTCATAAGTCTCGACCTTGCCCGTCTCCAGAACATGACGGGTCCCATCCCGGATTCCATAGGGAGACTCAAGAATCTCAGGGATCTTGACTTGGGGAAGAACCAATTCAGCGGAAGGATTCCAAGCTCTATAGGGAGTCTTACGAATTTACTAGCTCTAGACCTGAGTAGTAACAGACTGAGTGGGCCCATTCCTCCATCAATATCAGGTTTGTCCTCACTGGAGTTGCTCGATTTATCCAACAATGCGCTGACGGGGACAATCCCGCCGACCATTGGAGACCTTAAAAAGATGACATTTCTGTCCCTCGAAAAAAACCATCTCTCAGGGAATCTCCCGGAATCGATTGGCCACCTCGCCAGTCTCACTGATCTACGCCTCTCGAATAATTGCTTTACCGGAATCCCAGAGACTTTTGGCAATCTTCACAACCTCACGAGTTTGGAACTGTCAAGAAACAACCTCACTGGCAAGTTCCCTCACACCATGGTAAACCTGCAATCACTAGCTACTTTGGATCTCTCATTCAATCCATCACTCAATTTCCAGTCCATTTCGGAGTGGGTTCCGTCACTGAAACTTACTGGCCTTAGCTTAGCCGGAACTGGGATCAAAGGGGAGCTTCCCGAATGGTTGGCTTCTTCATCAATTGTCAATCTACATTTAGCAAAAAATGGACTCACCGGAAAAATCCCTTCTTGGATTGATAAAATGACAAATTTAGAGTACCTGAATCTATCATACAATGGGTTTCACTCACAAATTCCAGACCAAATCAGGAATCTTTCAGTGCTGTTAGACCTTGATCTTCACTCAAACAACCTTTCTGGGGATGTAAATATCCCATTCAAGTACGCACAGGGAAGTTACCGTACCATGGATCTCTCAGATAACCAATTTTCTGGAGAACTAAAAGAGATATCAGGATATGGAGATCTTTTAGGTTCGTTAGCGTCCCTGAATCTAGCGAACAATAAGTTAGAAGGGAGAATTCCAAAATCTCTTGGGAATGCTACATGGCTGGAGACGATAGTGCTTTCAGGTAACAAGTTCAGCGGTACAATACCAAAAGAGGTGTTGAATCTTGAACATCTAAAAGAGTTTGATGTTTCTAGAAACAGATTGAGTGGGGAAATCCCTGCCCACAAAGCAAATATACCCAAGGAGGCATTTTTGGGGAACCCTGGCTTGTGTGGATCCCCACTTCCTCCTTGCAAACTCTAATGCCCTGTTTTTTTAAAGTTTAGGGATAGAAATAATGAGGAAAGAGTGAGAACAGAAGAGTGCGACAGAATGAGAAAAATAGTTGTGCGAGTAGTGGTAGTAATAAAATATTATGGCAGGACAAATCTGGATTTCCTGTATTGTCTCATTGGAGACTTGGAGTATAATTTTAATATTTATCCATCCATAACCAGACACCAAACTTAACTCCTCACTAAGGATATCTCACACATAGTGTTTCTAAAAATCTATCAATTTCATTATCGGTGTTTATACCTTTCCAAATGTTTCAAGTGTTAGGTATAATATGAAAATTAGATTTTCTCATGAATCCCTACCAAAATTTCTACTATTAAAACTTGTCAAGGCTTCCACATATAATTATACGGAATAAAGTTGATTCTTTTCCCTAGTTTTTTGCTTGTTAATTCAAAAGATCAATTTTTACACAATTCACAATATCTTTCTTTAGACCATTTCTAACCATCTACACCAAACTCAAACTCAAAATGTAGTAAATATCAAACTCAAACTCAAAATAACACTCTCACCATATATACTTTTTCTCACTATTGTTTATACCTTTCAAATACGGAGTATTACCAATATGTTTGTCAATTTTGCATTTTGTGATTTTTTTTACTATTACAGAGTATAATACGTTATTAAGTATTAACTATTTCTAGTGAAATTTCAGTTTTCTATTAACTCTTTCAATTAGGGTGTTGGATATCAAACTCTTGTTGATTTGTTTTTTTCTATAACAACAACAACCCAGTTGAATCCCACAACAGTAGGGTCTGGGGAGGGTGTGTGTACGCAGACCTTGCCCCTAAGTAGGGAGGCTGTTTCCAAGAGACCCCCGGCTCCACCTGCATAAAAATATGGAAGAGAACACAATATAGCACATATAAGGCACCAAGTACAAGCAACAAGTACAAATAATAGCAGAAGATTCCAAACAAATACAACACACTACAAAACAACCTCTACAACACCGAGCTCCTATCCAGCTACTCTAATCCTAGTTCTCCAAAGGTTCCTATCTAGGGCCATATCCTCAGTCAGGTCGAGAAGTCCTAAATCCTGCCTAATCACCTCCTCCCAATTCTTCTTAGGTCTACCCCTTCCCCTACTTCCCCCGATAACCGTAATCCTCTCGCATCTCCGTACAGGGGCATCAGCATCCCGCCGGATTTGTTTTTTTCTATATCTAAGTAAAAACATACATCTTCAATGAAAAATAGAAATAAAAAAAAAATATAACATTTAGCCCATATTTAGAATGAATGAAAAAAAGATTTACCGAAAAGAAAGCAAAGAAAGAGAGTAAATGAAAAGCAATTGTTCAGTTTATTCCAACTATTGGAAAAACAGGAAAAAAACTCAAAGGAGTAAAACAATGACATTAAATAGAAACATTTATATGTACTCACCATTTATCGAACACCTGGTGTGCAACTTGGCTTCTTTGTCATGGAATATTACGAGAGGCGATTGAAGGATCACCAGAATTCAAAGAGCTTGATGACAATGAGGATAATTGATGTGATTTCTGTTTACAAGTATAAATGAACAAAAAGTTATGATATAATCGAACATCATTCGAAAACTTTATATATAGTATTTTGAATAAATATAGATAGTATTTCGAAATTTTGAAAAGATGATCAGTATTTTTGAAGAACATCTCAATCCCAGCATCCCTTCCATGGTTGCACAAGGTATAATATTTAAACTATTTAGAATGATTTGAAGAAATGATAATAAATTGAAAGAAAATGTAGTAAACTAAGGCGCCATTTCTAACCATTCTTCTCTTCTTGCCCCATCAACATCATCGTGTTCACCCTTTCATTCCTCTCTATTAGTGATAGTCTAAGGAGCAAATGGAGTTCACTTTCACGGAGTAGAAACTAAGGGGGCTTATGGTTGGGGGAAAGGGAAATGGAGAACTGAATGGGATTCCCCCATTCCGTTTGTTTTCGTTTGTTTTAAAAAAAGTTCATTCCCTTTCTCCATTTCAGGTTTTGAATTACCCTGTTTCCCCTCTTTCCATTCCCCGCTCCCTGTCCCGGTTTCCCATTTACCGTCTGTTTCTTCCCCTTCCCTAACCCTTCTTCCCCAACCCTTTCAGCCGCCGCCAATCTGCGTCTCCCTTTTAGCACATCCGTTTCTTCCAGCCGTCGCCAGGTATGTTCTCCCCCTTCCAGCTCCGTTTCCTCCCCACCCCCTCCCAGCTCCGATTCCCCCC